AGTGTTCTGACTTTGTGTACTGAATTGAGCAGTGAAAATTACCTAGAGTTCGCGGAACATCCGTTTCGTGTTACGCATCAAACCAACGAGTTCACTGTTCAGTCGGCCTGCCAAACGAAACCACGAGTTCAGCAACCGAACGCTTAGTCTGAACAAGCAACACATTGACACACGATATTCATACGATATTCATACGATATTCACAACAACATTCACACACGATATTCATCGAATCAGCATATTCAAAAATCAAGGAGTCCATCACAGTAAGCATCGACACCAACCATTTCAAAAATTCGCTCAAGTATTTGTCGGTTTGCAATTGAAGATATTTAAACCTCGCGAGTTTTACTCTATCGAAACTTTCACAGTTCAATCCATGAGTCGACAATCATGCCACGTGTATGTTTAAGGTTTTGTGTATTCTTGCTGACATTGAGCGTACCTGTTTACCAGAAGGCACATGTAGTGTTTGCGAGAAGGTTTATAAATACGAAGGGAAATATTTGTTAAGAAGAATTCCTCATGCTTCTCATGGGAGCTTTAATCCTTTCGCTTTCGATCACAATTCATTCCAATGCTACGCTCCCTAGCCAAAGCATCCCACGGAATCGCCTTTAGGCGTCTTGTTTAGTATGGTTTTCCAAGGAAATTGCGAGCGGGGTCGTACGGGTGATATGAGAGCGGAGCTCCGGCGACCCGAAGGGCCGCCAAGCGGAGCTCCATACCCGTTTTGGAAAGAAAAGGAAACCCATCAATTGATTTTCTCATGGTTATGGCTAGCGGTATTGCTCGTGGGCGTGTACGAACGACGACGAACAACGATGGAGTCGCGCAAGATGACGGCCATACACTAGCTAAAAGATTGACAGAGACATGCAGCCTTGATTTATAGCCTCCTTCTTTGATATTGGACATACATGTTATGGTCAATTGACACCTGTCAAAACAATGTATCCGCTGACCAGTATAACGTGACCATATCGTGGGCTCAAGATTAGAGCTTATTGAGGTCAAGTTTTTTTTGAAGTTGACCGCTGACCAAGAGCTGGTTTTCTATTGGATCTAAAAACTCATGTCAAGTTAAAACTTCTTGTTAACAGGGTCGGGTTGTTCGGAAGCCGGTTAACGCAAACCAAGGATTAAAAGTTAACAGAAGTATAAATATTTCTTGTATACAAATGTTCTTCATTACTTATTGAAACTCAAAGCAGAAGGCCAAACAATACACAGAAAACCTCACTGCAAAGTTACAAAACTAAAATTAACAAATTGACGTCAGTTTTTCATGCGTTTGTCCTGTTACTGATCATTAATTTCGTCATAACATTGTCAAAGTAGCTGTGGATCCAAGAGGCGATAGCTGAGTGGATCCGCAGACTAATTTGACAATGTCATGACGAAATTCATTGTCAATAACAGGACAGACGCATTAAAAACTGACATCAATTTGTTTTTCACGATAACAAATTGTCAAATTGTCCGCTCTCGCTCGTTTATGCATCGCATAAATTATTATAAATTCATGTGTCTGTCCGCTTATTGACAAGAAAAATTAGCCAATGAGCGCGCGAGAATTTCTGCAGTTATTGTAAAATCAAAATTCGCGCTTAACCTGGATTATCTTAATCGGGCTTTGGCTAAATCTATATTTTAAATTTGTTTATGATTTTTCTTTTCGCGAACGCCTTCTCGGCTAAAGTTTTACTCAAAATGGTTGCTACAGAAACCAGCTACAACCCTTTTGAGGGGGTTGTTTTACAGTATTTTCGCCAACAGTTCCTGCTCTTTCAGAAAGCAAGATCTGATTTTCAAACAAGAATATCTGTTAAGTTTCTGTTTCGTTCTATGCAATAAACTAAAGTTTTGACAGTTAACTCTTGTTTTCAGTGCTTACTACAGATTTTATTTGGAAATAACCCTATTTTGCACCAAAACCAGTTAACAAATTATCTACTGTTACGTGACGGACGTTAAAATGTCCTGATTTTCTTATTTCATTGCATCACGACATCATTGTTCCTCGATTAACCCAAATTTCAGGAGTTTCTCTTAAATACCCTCCAAAGTAGAAATGCTGGCGTGAAGTCAGTTGGTGCAAAAGTAGACCGTTAAGAAAACTGCACTTAAAATTTCTTACATGATGGATTAAGCATTTAACAAGCCAAACATTGCAGGGGAAAGGTGCAGATTGGATCTCCAGGGACGGGGGGAGGGTGTAATGGTTGTTCTATTTTGTTAAAATTTTCTGTAGTTTTAGGAAATGTTCCGTTTCATAAAGGAAATGAATGAGCCTGTGAAGATAAATCAGGCAAAGCTTTTCCCAAGTAATTATACCAATCGAGTCGTGCATCTCTTTAAAGCTTTACTACAAAGTATCGTTTATATATGTTAAAACTAGTCTATATTTCTGGTCATGTTCTTACTGTAAACAGCCGTTGCTATGGTCGTTGCTACGTAAAAACCACTACCACTGTGTACTTTCCTAAAATTTCACACTTATCTAGAGGTAAATTCGGCAAGATCGTTTCAAAATGTTTATTTTAAACAAGTGTTCAAGGGTCTTAACCTTGTATTTTTTAAAAAACGGAATTTTTCATGAACATCGTCATGTTTTTGGGTATACTGATACCACCGTAACTTTGCTATAAATTGTTCAAAATTCGATTTTGAAGAAAATTGTTTGCCAGCGGATTCCCATGCAAAAACTGTAATTTCTGACGCGTGTCGTCTACCCGTGAAGATAGTTTCCAAAACCGTGATAAGGTCATTCCAACAGAAAAACTAGTGCTTACGGTTTAGTGACTGATAAAGTTTGGTACCTTTTGTTGTAGTATTTTAACTTTATTAGCGTTCTAAATCCGTGTGAGCAAATCTCCCTTCTTGCTTGAAAAGAATGAAGAAACGAGATTCCTTTATTGTTTTACTAGGATGCGTAATGGGCGTGGCAGTAGAAGCGGACGCTAAACTACCCATAAAATGTCTTACGAGAAACTGAACACGGGGCGCTCACTCACAAACCCCAAAGAAAACGCCAGTTTATGTTCGCTGCTTACCTTTTCATGGCTGAACGATCTACTAAAACGAGGAAGCCAGCGAGCACTTGAAAACGATGATCTACCTCCATTGTTGGAAGAAGACAAGAGTCAAGCTCTAACAAAGAATTTGGAAAACGAATGGTCCCGGAACTGCAAACC